AAATAGTTCACTGTACTCTTTTGTATGTGATTAAATTTTATCATCATTAAATCACCAACAACTCAGTATCTGTAGTTTTTTAAACAGACTTTATTTTGGATTAGATATGCATCATATCTCTGGATGATATATTCAGCTCCACAGCCTCTGAAGAAGCAACAGCAACAAAAAGTCCTTGGTTTAACAGAAAATGCTACTTTTATTATTTTTATTTAGTGTTTTTCCTTACTTCATTATGTTACCTACTTTCATTGCTGTTCATCTAGAGACAATACTTTATTCTGTTTTCATCATTTGTGATTGAAGTTAATGACTTTACACTTCTTAAATCATTAAATTTGAATAAAATACAAAGTCATTTGCTCTTCAGTTGCTTAGTTGTCTTTTAACTACATGCGAACTGGGCATCCTTCACAGCACTGTTAAAATGGATTCTGGATGGGATTTCCTACAGAGTATGAATTAGTTACAGTATTTTATTACTTCATGTCATGGTTGATCTTATAAAAAGTTTATTTTATTGGAAACATTCTGTTCAGTAAATTGTCATAACCTTGATCCAGTATGAAAGTTATATTAGTAAAATCTGTTTACTGATGCAAATACTGTATAAAGATATTACCACTTAAAATTTTGTGTTGGTTTTGCTTATATTTTTTAAAATTGTATGTCTTTTTCTGGAGCAATGTTTCTCAAACTATATGTTGCAGCTTCCAAGGGAGTTAATGAAAGTTTCAAAGAGTTCTAAAAAAACATTAAAAAGAATTTTAAATAGTATTTATTAAATATTAATTACATTCATTGTTTGGAGAGAAAAAGCAAGAATAATATGTTGACTTACTGAGGGCATCCTCTCAGTCCCTTCAGGATTGGGGATGGGAAAAGCTGCAATAGGTCCTGGTAGCAAGAGGGAGATAGGGACCACAGGACATTTGCTAACTGGGTTTCCCTGGTTAGCAGCTTCTGGAGGAGAGGGGAGTTAAGCGTCTGCGTGGTATCAGTCAATTCTTGCAGGGACTTCTTATTTCCCTGCGTTAGAGAAACTGAGCTGCTACAAGCAGAGACAATTTTCCCTGGACAACTGACAATTTGGGAAAGGGTCCATAAAGACTAATAATTTTGAAGGTGTCCAAAATGTTTGAGAAATAGTACTCCAAAATTTATTGACAATTGGATTTTGTGTCATTGTGGATTAACATTGATGCAGGGTCTTTTGTGGGATATATTTGAGGCTTTTTGAGTTTTAGTATGTAACTTCTAAAATTCTCCTGCCAGGCTGTTCCCATGGGTGAAGTATTTAACTCTTTGGACCTGAAAACTTTTTGCTTTTATGACTGTTTCAGCAATCCTGCTTGCCCTGTACAGCCTACCAAAAGGGACTGCAGCAGGAAAAAGCTCTAGTCCTTGGAAGAGAATAAACTCAGTGATAACACTGGTCTCCAAGGCAATCAATACTTGAAATACTTGAATGGAGTTCTGTGTGGTTTTCTGTTTAGTGTGCCTGCATATGGTCCACTGAATGGCTGCCATTGAACTGAAGAGATGCATGAGCTCATTTACTTGCAGGTTCATAAATTGACTCGAACTGACTGGCTGAAATCTCTCTCTAAATCGCAATGCAAAATGCCATGTAGATGCACCATACCTGCAGGCCATGTTCTGAAGGCTCTCTTCCCAACCAGAAGGGCCTGAAGACTTTTAATTCTTCGTGAAATGAAAGCTGAACTCCTATGCCACAAGATGGTACTTAGAGCAATGCTCTCAAATGCTCTCAGCGTATCGAGCTACTACCAGGAGAGACCATTAGAATACTTTTACCATGTCGCAGTTCTTACTGAGCTCCTGATTTACCAAAGAAGTAGTGACAATTTTTTTTATTTTTTTTTTTTAAGTGGTGACTTATTTTTAAATTCCTGTTTTTTCTTCTTGTTACACAGATTTTCTGGGTTTTTTTGGACTATGGCACTATGACTCAAATATGGAAAAGATATGCGACATCCTAGTATGTTTTGAGACAATCCCACAGGATTATGCTTCCACTTACACTAAATTATGTTACAGCTTCTGTCTCCTTGGGAGCTCCGTGTACACTGGGAAGGTGTAACCACGCTGCTGTCCACTGAAATACCACAGTCATTCAGACACTCACCAATTACACTGTAATTTCACCTCCAAAAGTGCCTAACATGGGAACAGTCTGAGGGAAACCTTTTACCTTCAAGTAGCTGGTTAACTTGTGTTTTTCTGTGGTAGACTGAGTACCATTTCTTCCTATTACACTGTTTTAACCACCTTGCTGAGCCAAAAGATAAACCAAAATACACGCTTATCAAAGATGCACAAACCCCAACTGATTTACAGCAAACTGTTCTGGAGGACAAGGCAACCTGTATGTCTGGGCTGTGGAGTGGCAGGGACCGGTGAAGTGTGTAGTTACCCAGTAGAATCCTCAGACTTTGGCAAAACCTTTTGCTGAGAAATTAAGCCCATATTGTTAGTATTTAAAGAGGTAAGCCCAGGTATTCCAGGCTGTAACACAAGGGAGATTCTTCACCTGTGCCCTCTAGCCCTCCAGCAGCCAGTGAGGACCACCAGAGGCTAATCAACTTGTTTTAAGTCCAGATCACTGTTTAAGCATTAGTTTTCTTATGTGACATAAACCATAAACTCCTATTGATTGTTGCCAGTCTAGTGTGTAGGGCCCACTTTCCTCTTATCTGCCTAATTATACAGGTAAAGTAAAAGGCTATCTTCTTCCTGGAAGTGAAGAAGAGCAAATCCATCTACTGAGCTTGTCTTCCTCTTGGTGCTTCTGCTAGTACGAACCATCAACAACCACCTGGGCTTAACAAGTGTAAACATGGTCTAGGTGACAAAATTCTTTTGGCTTACACTGAAAATTAACTCTACAAGCTACTCAGCAAGCCACAAAGTATACTTGTGATAGAAGTGCAAGGTAGTAGAAAGGAAGTAACCAGTGTTGTATTAGCAAGTGGTTCAAGAACATCTGTTGCTACAGTGTCACAGATGGAAATGTAAAGGATAAGATTTTTGTTTCTCTGAAAGAGGGGTTTTTAGTTGTTTTTTTCCTGTTTGTATTCTTACCCAGTTTTGCCACCAAATTTATTCTTATTTTTGTAGACTTGTCTTCTTGTTTTTAGTGGTCGTAAAGTCTTTTACCTGTCTAGTTTTGTATGTGTGTCTTTCTCCCTCTCTTCCTGTAAGTGCTGGCAGTCTTTCATTGGCATGGCTACATAATACTCTCATTAACTCTAATGAGCAAAGAAAGTATTTGGCAGTATCATTGTTTGCAGGAGATGGTTTTCTAACATTCAGAAAGAGAAAACATGTCAGTTTATAGCTGTTGCTCTAAAGGTGGATTTGCAAAGTTTTAACAAGAAAATTTTAAGCATATATTTTATTACATTTGAGATAAATAACATCTAATACAATTCTGTTCCTAAAACAAAGCAGTAACTGGCTGAAGGATGAGGTTTCCTAGGTGGCATGCACTGTTCTTACATGTGGATTGAAAAATAATGACACAGTGATGGGGACTTTGCTTGCTATACATAAATTCAGATGGCTCATTGCTAGCTTATGAAAAACCAATGTTTTGAAAAAGTTCCTGCTGTTGAACTCTTGGGGTTTTCTGCAGTATAGGCATTGTACTACAGTGTCAAGATTAATAACTGGAATAATAGATTAATATCAGAACTGATTATTCATCATAGAAGTGCTCTGTTAGTCTGTCATAAAATGTTCTTAATGGTACTGGCAGGAGAATCTTTCTGGCAGGAGGATATATTTACACACCCATGCAATCAGTATTTAGAACTTCTGTGACATCAATACAATATGAAATGTTTTTTTTCCTCCAGTAGTTTTTAGGGTCAGAAATCATAAGTATGGTGAATTCTCTTTAAATCCAACACCTCTTTGAGGAGTTCATTTCCAAAAGGATGGAGGGGAAAGAATTATTTCAAAGCAAAACTCAGCATTTGTTTAATATTAGATTAATTTTGGGGTATACGAGAATACTGTTGCACTTGCTGTTTTGCCTTTTTTTTTTCCTCATGCTTCATTTTAGCTATTGCAAAAGACAAGCAACATAAAGCTTCTGTTAGTAGGTAGACATATTATTAAATAGACTAAAGTAATCAAAGTTTTCTTATTTCATTTTTCTGCATCAGTATAGAGACTGTTAGAAAATCTTGCTATAATTTCCAGCCATACAGTGATTTAATAAAGTCTTGAAATGATTAGTCATTATTTAGCTAGCCAAGATAGTTGAGTTGAGGAAGAAAAGGAGAGAGGGAGATGTGATTAAGAGGAAGGATCCTATCTGGACTGGAATGATAGCTAGAATGCACAATTTTTCTTCAAAGAGTGTACAATTTATTTACCCCTGAGTAAATGTTGCTTTGTGAGGAGTGCACCCAGGGGAGCGAAGACTAATAATAATCTTGAGTTTATTCTGTCTCATAGTGTGTTCTGAGGATGCAGTACCTGATTTTACAGCATCTGCAGACGTAAAGTGAAGCTTTTACATTTAATTCTTCAGCTGTAGAACAGATGGGGAGAGATGACATTCAGTGCCATGCCTGTGTATACACCTTTTGCTATAAACACTAGATTCTTTTTACAATATTAGTTTAATTAAGAAATTCACTGGATTCTGTATGTTATTTACTCATTAAGATTTCACCAGTGACTCCACTGATTACTATTTTTGTGGACGTTGGCAATAATCTTGCTGTGCAAGAGGGAAAAAATGTGTAGAAGAGTCAATTCTATAAGCACAATACATGTCCATTCATAGATCTGTCTCCTTAGCATGAATGTTTTTTCAGTCAATTTAAAATCACACAAAATATTAGAACTGTTGACTGGGGTTTTTTTAACTTTCTGAACTACAGAATGCTTGTAGCTTTTTTGAATTAAAAAAAATGTGTAATATTTAAGAGTAATCTTGTTTATTTCTCTCTCTTTTTAACCAGCCTCTTATTCCTAGAAGTCCTACAAGCAGTGTTGCTACGCCATCCAGCACTATCAGCACACCTACAAAAAGAGATAGCTCTGCTCTACAGGATCTCTATATACCCCCTCCTCCGACAGAACCTTACGTTCCAAGGTAAAAAAGAGAATTTCAGGTACAATTCAATGTAAAAAATATTTATAAAGTAATTGATGATTCTGTTCCTACCTGTTTATCAGCCTGCCCTGTGGGATTAGGCTGATAATACTTCATTTTGTGGATTAACTGCTTAAGGGTAGATATGCTGAATCAGACCCACAATGACCTGTCTTGTCTGCAGAACAGTAGCCTTTAGAAAAGAAGGTTCAGTACTCTATTTTTTTCAAATATGGGATAATCTATTATCTGTAGCAGTCTCATTCTGTTTCAGAAGAGCAGAGATTATCTATGTATCTGTCCCCTTGCCTAATAACCATGATACAACAAGGGAGACTGAGCTAGAAATTTGTAACTTCAACAATAGCACTGTTCTGCTCTACCATAATGTTTTCTTTTTTAGATGTATTTGACTTGATAGAGCAAATTTCAGGATTGCATTTCAGTATGGCCACTCTGCTAGAGTCTGCAGCGACCATGCTGTTCCCTGTTAATTTATCAGCTACTCTGGCATGCCACCCGGAACAGACATTTTCACCTCTCCCAGGTCTCTGGTCGTGCTGAGCCAGAAAAGCAGCAGCTCCTCCTTGCAGATTCAGCACCCTACCCTCAAACAACCTCAAACCAGTATAATTTGATATTGTACACAGATGTTACTTTTCCAAAATTCTGAATTGTGGCCTATAAATGATACGGAAGTAGTGACCCAGAGGTCTAGGAATGTATTTAAGAGGAATCAGTATTTTTAAAGCTTCCATATTCTCAGACATGTCCAGTCAGTGTATTTTTAAATTACTTCTTGCTTTTCTTTTAGTTAACTTTCTTGGAAAGGTTGTAAGAGGAGCATGTCCTTCCCTGTACCTGAGTAACTTGTAGATGAGATTTTCTTAGATGTTCTTATCAGTAAATCTTCTAGCCAATTAATAAGATGTATGTCCTGATACTGACAAGTCTTTCCTGAGGGTTGCCCAAGAGTGAGGTATATGGCAAATTAAATTGCCTAGTGGGGAGGAGAAGTTTTGATTCTGTGATAAATTCTTACTCTTCAGAGATATGAAAAACCTTCCAGGGCAAAAGACTTTCCATTTCATGATTTAGATAATGTCACAAGCCTGTTGTGAAGCCATAAACTGAGTCCCGTGTTCCTTCCTCATATATGTCTTGATTTTTATTTCTTGTGGGGAAAAAAAAAAACAATTTCATTTCAATTGTGATGCATATAACAGTAGGTCTTGCTAACACAATTACTCTAGTATCTGCCTTAAAGTGAATACAGAGTCTAGATCAATATTTTTTCTTCTAATTAAATAAAAACATTGTCAGTCATGACACTGGAATTGTTCGTAGAAATTGAGTGTGTCTTTTATCTCTCATAACAGTATTATGTTTATGCAAATATTTGAAGGACATGATTTTCAGAAAATCCACAGAAAAAAAATCATTTATTTAATTCTAACCCATTAATGTAAAAAAATCTGCAAGAAGAAGCTCCAACCAAAACGTAGTTTTTGGTTTCTCTTTGAGTGCTATACTTATATGGTAATGATCTGTTGCTCCTGAAACTAAAGCCGTGCTATTTTAAAGAAAGTAATGCCTTTGTACTGCTGCTGATTATGTTTACCACCACAAAAATACTTTTATTTTATAAGAAATACATCCTCTTTTTTGAAGTATTTTTAGTGAATATTTACTGCTCAGTAGTTTCTGAGTTCGGCTCTAGAAAATGAGATCTTCAAAATGCATTTTGATTATTTATTAATAACATTTCTTAAATTATTATGGTAATGCAGTAGTTCAGACCAATTCTGATTAGATTTGATAATACATATTAGTACAAACTGTAATCTTACAGAGACATTAAGCTATGTACATTTTTTATCAGCTTAATCCTAATGGACTATACCTCATTTCACAAACCTGTCACATAGTGTACAGTGTTTCTTAATAATCTATTTTGGCATTTCATCATTATTTTTTTTTTTGGTCCATGATTAACTATATTTAAGCATGTCTTTGTTTTGAGTATTATCGAACTGTTCCGCATCTGTTTCTCAGTTTGTTGTTGCTGTTGCAAGGGGAAAAAAACGAAAGCAACAAACCCTCCTTTTGTTAGTGGAATAGAGTAAAAGACTTCATATTTTGATGGAAACTGTAAAACCCTGAAGACATGCTGCCCTGATGACGACACACACAGATAGAGCAGCTGCCAGCATAACTGTACATGGATGGCATGAGAAGAAGGCACTGGTACTTTCTGTGTGCTGGTTACTTAGAAGTGCTGGTTGTGAGCTAGAGCCTGCTCAAATTCGCTGAATACCTTTGGGTGTGAGAACTGAAACCCTCGTCTCCAGAGATGTGTAGCACAAGGATGTTTGCCTGGTGGCTCTGTGCTTCTCTATGTGTTCGCAGTAAAGATCCCTCCAGGTCAGGCTGTCCCTGTTATTGCAGAGGCTCCCTTGTGCCAGCCTCTGACGGTAGCTGCAGCACTGATTAGCATCTGGCTGGATTATCTCAATCTCCATCACATCCTGCAGCACTGTCACCACAGAAACTCTTTCTGTGACTGGAGATGAGCTCACAGCCCTGGTGGGGCTGCACCCACCCACCTCACTCAGCCAACACAACCCCTGCTCCGGGAAGGCAGCATGGCAAAATGAGCATAGTGGTCTGTGGGGGTTTGTGGTGCGGTGCTGTCACAGCCAAGGCAGGACTGCCCTTTCACATCCTCCATGGATGCCTGGATCCCATGAGGAGGCTTTGATACATCCTCAGATGGAGACTCAAGGTGCTGGGGGAAGTATGGGTCAGCGCACTGGCCAACTTGGAACTCATGTGACAGTCCAGGGGTCCAGAAATGCTCCAATGAGGCCATGAGGCTCCAGCTTTTCTCTTGGCTGCCTCCTATGCCTTTTGCTGCCCAGAAATTATTGTTTAATTAGGTCTTTTGCAGCCATCTCCAGGCACAGTCCTACCAATGGGTTTACTGAGCACTGCTTCATGTAGAGGACTCCTACCCCAGGCACAACTTTCTGTCTTGTTTGATGCCTTTCAGTAGCTTGCATTTTCAGAGGGTGGAGCAGGGAAAGAAGAAACAATCATCTTGAGGATCTGTACACAAACAATGAAGTGTGTGCCTTGCAGTGTATTGCTGTCACAGAATCATAGAATGTGTTGGGTTGGAAAGGACCTTTACAGGTCATATAGTCCAACCCCCCAGCAGTGACCAGGGACATCTTTAACTAGACCAGGGTGCTCAGAGCCCCATCAAGCCTGAATGTCTCCAGGGATGGAGCCTCCACCACCTCTCTGGGCAACCTGTGCCAGTATTTCACCATCCTCATAGTAAAAATGTCTAGCTTAAATCTACCCTGCCCCTCATCCTGCCACTTGTAAATAGTCCTTCCCCAGCTTTCCTGTAGGCTCCCTTCAGGTACTGGAAGGCCACTATAAGGTTACCCCACAGCCTTCTCCAGGCTGAACAGACTCAACTCTCTCAGCCTATCCTCATAGGAGAGGTGCTTCAGCCCACGGATCATGGTTTTGTGGCCCTTCTCTGGACTCACTCCAACAGATCAATGTCTTTCTTGTGTTGAGGGCTACAGAGCTGGACACAGTCCTCTAGGTGAGGTGTCACCAGAGCAGGCAGAGGGGCAGAATTGCCTCTCTCGATCTACTGGCCACAGTTCTTTTGATGCAGCCCAGGATGCGACTGGCCTTCTGGGCTATGAGCACACATTGTTGGCTCACGTCCAGCTTTTCATCCAACAATACTCCCAAGTCCTTTTCCATAGGGCTGCTCTCTACCACATCATCCCCTAGCCTGTATTGATAATGAGGATTGCCTCAAGCCAGGTGCAAGACTTTTTAATTGGCCTTGTTGAACCTCAGGAGATTAATTTCTCCAGTTTGTCCAGGTCCCTCTGGCAATATCCCATCCTTCTGGGCATGTTGACTGCACCACTCAGCTTGTTGTCATCTACAAACTTGCTGAGGGTGCACTTGATCGCACTGTCTATGTCATTGATGAAGATATTGAACATCACTGGTCCTAGTATGGCCCCTGAGGGACACCACTTGTCACCCGTCTCCATCTGGACATCAAGCCATTGAAAACTACCCTCTGGAAGTGACCATCCAACCAATTCTTTATCCACCAAACAGACAACCCATCAAATCTGTATATCTCCAACTCTAGAGGATGTTTTGGGGGACTGTGTGAAAGGCCTTGCACAAGTCTGGATAGATGCCATCTATCTCTTGTCCACTAATGCAATCACTCCATTGTAGAAAGCCACTGGCTCAGGCATGACTTGCCCTTAGTAACACCATGCTGGCTGTCTTGAATCGCTTTACTGACTTCCATGGGCCTCAGCAGAACATCTAGGAGGATCTGTTCCATGATCTTCCCAGGCACAGGGGTGAGGCTGTCAGGTCAGTAGTTGGGATAGTGGCTCATGATCAGGTGGACGCACCCTATCTGGTGCTACATGGATGTACCTATACAACTGTATATAACCGGTCCCTGTTTCTTCTTGTGCTGGCATTAGTTTGTAAGGAAACAGATTGAATTTGTCTATCCTTGTCACATAGCCATGTCTTATAGCTATCTGGTATATTTAAAAATGCAAGTATAAAAAGTAAGGTCAGCATTATGTCTCTGCCCTAAATCACAAAATGTTAGGTAGCTTCAAAAACCTGAAAAATAAGAGTAGCTGCACATCAGATTTATTTCTCTTTCTTTTCAAGAGAAACCAATAAGATGGATACAGTCTGCAAAATAATAGAATAAACAGAGATGTATGAGATAACAGGCACACACATTCATATGCATATATGATGTATGATCCTGATGTTGCCCGATAGCATCCGTTTCCTGCTTGTATGAAATATTGACATATTCTCATGATTCACAGTAAAAAAAAATAATAAATCGGTGTCTCATCCCAATATATTAAAAACGTCTCTTGTTTACTAAAGGGATGAAAAGGGAAATCTCCCATGTGATGATGTTGGCAGACATATAGTGGGCAAGCCAGTTCATACAGGATCCGAATCTCCAAACTCATTTCTTGACCAGGAATATCGGAAACGCTTTAATGTGGTTGAAGAAGATGCAGTTTTATATTGCTATGAATATGAGAAAGGAAGAACAAGTGGTCCTGGAAGGAGAGAGAGCACACCAACATATGGTATGGCATTGATCTACTAAAGATAATCACCATTTGTTGATTTTAGGATTTTTATGCATCTGCTTTTGTTTTTAAGCATGAATATATTATCGGTGGCCATTGATTTTGCTAAGAATTCTGTACTACTTGAGTCCAATTTCAACATAAGAGCTCATTCTGTGCAAGAATAAATTAATTACTATGATAGAGAGGGCAAGTCCAGCTCTCTATTGATGATTTTTCTGAATATAAGTTCTATAACTTTGTTATCAACTTATTTTTACAGATTATGTTTCAGTATCACTTTATCAAAAAAGCTGGTGGAAGCCCATATATTTTTACTAAAAATACAGGATGAAATTGTTCTCCCAGTATAAGGGCAAGACTTACATAGATTTAGAAATTCAACATCAGAAAAATTTACACAGGTATAAGCGGTTTAAAGATCAAAACCACTTCAGATTTACTAAGAGATGGCATGCTACTTTCATGCTGCACTGTTCTCTAAGACCCTTTAATTTTTTTTAGTCCCAGAACTGAAGTATGACATGCGTTTTTTAATAATATTGAATTAATCTCCTGTAACTTCCTATATGGAAAGCAATGACTTTCTGTATATAACAGTTCCTCTTTATTTCAGGTCATATGCTGTCTAATAAAGAATTTTCCATGTAAACACACACGTATATTCATGGTACTTCCTCATCCTGGAATTTGTCTTATTTAGGGTGAGAACTCTGAAACAGTTTTGGGTGAGAGTTTTGCTCATCAAGCCCTTATGCTCCAGGTTGTTTTCCCTTTGGACCTGTTGCAACTCTTCTTTACATAATATTGTAATTAGTTACAGCTTTGGACTGGGAGAATTTGTTTTCTTATGCCAAGTATAAAATTGTGCAGTCATAGTGTTGTCAGGATATATAAGAAAATGAAGAGGAAATCTCATGTTTAAAAGAGGTATTTTAGCTACTGTGGTATTAGCTGAGCATACACTTGAATATGTTTTCACCCAATCTGTTATGTTATTTCAATTTTTAAACTGAACATAGACTGTACGTTGGAGTTACTGTAGTAATCCTAACACCATAACCCTTTGAGAAGAAGGTAGACTTTAAGAGGAAGTGTAGATTTAGTACATCAGGCAGCCAAGCTCCAAAATCACCTGGGAACCTTGTTATAAATTGATCTGGAGCTGTGCAAAGTATCCCCTGGACACGAATGTGCTTGCGCAATGCTGAAGGATGCATTCTCGTAAAATTCACCCTTTCTACACCACTACACAATCTTGCTCCAAAATCCTCAGTATACTCTTGTTTTCATAGTGTTTTCAAGTGTTTGCTAACCATGCCTATAATATACAAAGTAACTACTAAGTTTTCAAAATGGATATATCAATTTTATTACTTCAATATTTCAACTACTACAATTGGTAGATGCAGTCGGTTCTATTAATAAAGATGTATTCTATGTTCCAGATGTTAAATTTTAATACTGATGGTCCAAAGTGAAGAGCATATGTCTTCTTCAAGGACTGCTGAATCTATTATTTTGTTACAGGATAGCTTTTTTAGCTTTTTTTTTTCTTTTATGCAGAAGGGGTTATAAATACATAGATTAAAGGCTGCACTGAAAATCAGTCATTATTTAACACACTTGTTTTCCAGCCTTTCACTTTTGATCTCACTTCTTTTTTAATTGATTCACACCACAGAGTCCATTTTCACTTAAGTGTATTTTCTAAAAATACTACCATTTCAGCATTAAATTCTAAAGTTTCCCACATGGCATTAGTTAGCATAAGATTTGTGGCTAGGCATGACCTTAGAATTTCACAGAAATCTGGAAAATTACAATAAGACTCCTCTGGCTTATGGTGACCCATTAAAGAAGGTCAAGCAGAGTTCTAAGGCCTGGAGCTGTAATTGTTTTCAACATGTACTCATCATTATTTATGTGGTGCTATTAATTTTATTTCTAATATTTCTCAGGCCTCCTTTGTGAGAGGTTAATCGAGCCCTCCATAATTTCTTTATTGGAGTCTTCTGACATTTTTTGACAATGTTAACAAAGATTTCTCTTTCATGCTCTTACTGGCTCTCAGCTGTTGTATAATTGCTGCTAATCAGAAAGCTTGTGTTCTCATCCCATGGAAGATGTTTTCCTGAGTGTAGTCACCAGAGAAGAGAGATTTAGGGAGTCCATGGGGGTTAACAAGAAGGAGATTAGTGGAGGTAGCAAGGAAAAGTATTTTGAACAGCTGGAGGTTTTGCAGAAAATTTGTTATGATTATAGCTTTTGAGAACAATCAGACTTTACGTGATTTTGTAGCTTTTGTGTCTTTTTGAGTGTGCAGGTCCTTTCAATAAGAGAAGAGGAAGTTGTATTTCTAGAAAAAGTAACACTTCTGAACAAGTAAATATGATCTGAATACATCCCCGCTCAGGATATAACTTCTTAACTGTGTATTCTAAATCTCACCAGCTTCAGTCAGACTAATATATGTGTCCATGAATAGTAAAATAAGCGATAAATAAAAAGTTAAATATATATGTTGTATTTCCTGAGCAATGATCTGTTTGTGACCCAATCATGTGGTCTGCACAGCACATACATCAGAAGATGTCAGTAGAAAAAGACAAACAACCTTTTTGTGATTATGCTGCCTGCATGGTATTGGTGTATTTCTCATGGACGCCATACTTCAGTAGGTAGATAGACATATTTTGAGTACTTTTTTTCATTATAAACACCTTTCTTTTTCTGTGTATCATTGATATAACCTCAAAAATGTGGAATAAGAGTGATCACTTTATGTAGAAGTTTTCTACAATAATTAACAAGACTTCTGAAATTTTTACTTTAAGCTCTGCTACTTTTAAAATCAGATTATTCTCCCACTTTTTGATTTTATGACCAGTAGATTAATTCAGAAAAGAGCAAGGGCTGACCTTGTGAAATCATTTTGTTTTCAGTCTGCCAGATGTTGTGCTGTGCTACTCTGTATTTTTTTTAAATATACTATTTAACTTGCTAAAAACTTCAGATCACTTTAAGTAACCCCACTAAGGTGCGTAGCACACTGTCACTGAATTTCGAACTATATTTGTGGAATTGTTGAGCAAAAAACATAATTCACAGCTTTTTTTAAATTAATTCAGCAGCTTACAAATCAAAATTTAAAAGATAAGAGTAGTCTTCAGCTATTCTGTCTCTTGCAGTCTGAAATCAAAGTGAATTTACCAGTAATGTACTTTGCTTTATGGGGATGAAATACTCAATCACTGATGGACCCTTTAAGCCCACCAGCAAAGATGCTATTTGTGAAGATCTCTTACAAAGATGCATCTTTGTAAAGATGCTACTTTAGTGATGTGGACATGTTTCTGTTACCAACAATCCACATATGCTTTAAAACAGTTCTTTCTGTATTGTGTGCCAGGGGCTTCCAGAAAAATAAATAGGTATCATTCAGTGAAAACTAATAATTTGAATGTATTTGTCAGTCTCAGACATCAGCTCACTGATGATTTTATGGGGCATTGGACTTATTTTCTAAACTTAAAAAAAAAAATCTGTTAAATACTTAGCTGCTTCTTGTGTTTTAAAGACAACAAAACTTTCTTAACCTCTTGTTCAGACGCAATGCTGGATTCTCTTTCATAAGCAACCCTGTAGAATAGCAACTTAGCACATAATTTGTTCCTTCTAAATAATGTTAGTTTAATGCTGCCTTATGGTGCATGTTATCCATTTTTTCCTCTGTTTCCAGGGAAACTAAGGCCTATTTCTATGCCAGTAGAATATAACTGGGTGGGGGATTATGAAGACCCCAATAAAATAAAAAGAGATAGTAGGAGAGGTAAGTGACCTGAACGCACATCTTGTACAAGGCATTATGGGTTTTATCATGCTTTAAGCTATATATGTCAACCTCATTTTGCTGCTTGCTTAGATATATATTTTTGTGAACCTGTTTTGGGTTCTTTCATGATATATACTTAATTCTTTGCAGAGCTTCTGTTAAGATTAAGAAAGTTGCTCACCCAGGCAAAAGAAAATCATCACTGTAAAGCCCTGCAGTTTGGCCTAGCTTTATATTGGCATTTCATTGATTCAACAGTATTATCCAGTCCATTTTGGAACTGGCTTAATTTTATAATACTGGAGGACAAATGTATGGTTATTGCTGATGAATATTCTTATGATTAAATGGGAATTATATATCACATTTCTCTGTCTTCATGGGTTATTTTTGGATGAAAAATGTTCTAGAGCAGCATGGGAATCACCTCAAAATCATCTTCAAAATTCTGGTTTGTGAGGCTCAGATATGTTACTTACAAGATTATAACCTCCAAGATGGCTACTATTGCCCAGGAACAAGACATTAGAGTAAAGATAGATATTTCCATAAAAATATTAACTAAATGATCAGTAAGGATCAAAAAAGGAAACACTGTAGGAATTATTAGGAAAAAAATTAAAAAACAAATTAAGAAGTATTCTTATGCTGCTGTATAAATTTTTCCTCATGCTCGGTGTGTGTGCAGTTCCGGTCTCTTCATCTCTTAAGAAAAATACAGTAGTATTGAACAAGGTTTAGGTGACAACAGAAATGATCAGGTGTATGGATTGACTTCCAAAACTGTCTGTTCAGTAGACTGACCATCATCAGTTTAGTAGAATTTAGTCAGGGCATAATAAAACATGCTAAAAACTTACATGGAATGAAATTAGAGAAATAGGTTTGTCACTGTTTTTTTCTGAAATGAGAGAGACATCAAGTGTCTCTGTTGAGTGCTGGTTACAAAGAAAAAGAAACTGGCTCCTCGTGCAGTTTGGCTTCAAGCTAAGGGTGATGGATACTAAGAGTTCCCATTAATACAAAGAAAGACCAGACAAGTTCGTGAAAGACAAATCTGCTGAGGTTTCCTAAATTCACAAACATAAACATTGCTTCTGACTCAGGATATCCTTCAGCTACCAGCTGGTAGATGCAGGAGGAGTGTTTGGGGAAAGTGTGGATGATATAGTGAACAACTTCAAACGAATGCCCAAAGCAAATTACTTCTAAATGTACGGCACCACAGTCATTTGTATTTCTTAGAATCTTTGTGGGTTTTTTTTTTCTTTAAAAAAGAGGTAGTTATGATCATAAGTGTATCACTGGTCATTTTTTGAAAACTCCAACTCTATTGATATGGGGCTTCTTTTATATTCTGTTCCTTTTATTACCAAAGGTATCAGAAAACTGAAAGAATTGTGAATTTTTCTCTGTCAAAAGATTGCTTTCTTACTATATTCAGACAAAAGAAGAAAATGGGTTTTTGTTAATGAAATGCTTTTGAAGAGTTAAAATTGACCGTAGGTTTTAGCAAGAATATTATATATTTTGGAAGTCGGATTAACATACATACAATTCACAATGATGTTTTGCATTACTTTTTCAACAGAAAATTCATTGCTTCGTTATATGAGCAATGAGAAAATAGGTCAAGAAGACTACATATTTCAAAGGAATAGCAAAAAGGATACTGGGAAAAAGTCCAAAAAGAAGGGAGACAAGAGTAGTAGTCCAAGTCATTACTCACTGTTGCCTAGTTTACAAATGGAGTCATTGAGACAAGAAGTCATGGGCACACCTGGACCAGAAACTTCTTTGTACCACGTGAGTAAAACCAGCATCAACGAAAGTTGTTGCTCTGTGCTTGTGATGAAAGACTGTCTTGTTTTTATAGTGATGTTGAAACCTTTCTTGGACTTCTGCAGTTCCACTGATTCTTGTTCTTCATGTAATAACTGGACTTCAAATAAATATTTCAGAATTATATATTTTGCTGTTACAAATGTGGGATGGAAACCAGTGTTTTATCTCCTTTAACTAGAAGATGTCATGATTGAAATGGAGTCTGGTATCTCTGCCTTGACTTACTTGCCATTGATGGAAAAGGAAGAAGCAGCAGTTTCCAGACTGGCTAGAAGCCTTCTTTCCAGAGTCTGTGTCGCTGCAATATGTTAAATCTTATCAGAGAACCCCTTTGCTACAGGTGCTTGAAAGGCCTGATAATGGCAGGAAAACCTATGAGAGGTGTTTGTTTTTCTTTTGAGGTAAGGGGAGCCCTAATCCATGTAACTGTTATTAACGTATAGCCCTCAGTAACTCAAGTAAATGCGAAGGAAGGGATTCTGTTGAATAGGATATAAAAGGAAAATTGCAGTAACATGCTAGTTTTAAAATGTGTCAAGAAAATGCAGTTAGAAGATAACAACATATTTTAAATATGATTTCACATTCACCCCATAAAAGTATTTATATTTTAGATCTCAGTAAAAGGTGTCATTATAGAGGAATATGCACACAGTAATAGTATAGCAAAACAATAGCAAAAATTGGAATTATCCTCATCTGCTAACAAAGAATATGTAATTTAGATTGCCAGTGTTTAAGGGAGATGGCAGTGTGGGCTTGTCAGGAAGTCTCCCGTGAAAAGCTGGCAGGTGGAGCTTCACTGAACTTGGTTTCCTGATGGAAAACGTGACTATGGATTATTGCATTAAAGTTGGTGTAGATTCATTGAAACTAATGGAGTCTTTATATCCTTTTACACCACCTGAGTGCTTGGTCACTGGCTTCTAATACTCCTTAGTGTGCTGCAGTGTATAGGTAAATCTGATAAATTTCAGAAAAGATGTCTTCTAGTATTAAAAGTCAGTGGTTGTGGTTCACTTTAATTAAATCAGTTCCCTGGATTCAAGAACCGCTATTCACGTTCTTTTCCATTTGTAGTAATTCAGATGTGATGGTTATAATTTTTTCCTACATTATTATTTCCAAATTTAGTTTTATGCTCTTTTGTAAGTTGGAAAACTGATAGTGGGGAGATTTCTGTTTGCAGAGGTGGACTGATACATGCAGTTTCCCTAATACATGAAGCCAACGAGATTGCAAGTGTTCCCAAACTGTCCTTTTTACAATGTCTGCAGTCTTTTCTAGAAGGAATATAATCAGTGCCAGAGCCCTTGAATTCAAATATTTACAGAGCAAAATAAAAAAGTTACTTATGTGACAGAAGAATTTGCACTCTGTAAAGAACAATGTGGTGAATTTGCACGTAGTGAGAGAATAGTCATCACTCAATAACATTTCTTTGCTAGTATACATTAAATTCCTGGCCCTGCACAGTAAAAAAAACTTCTGGTTTTTTAAAGATAGCTTTTTTTTGTTTTCCTTGGTTTTCTGTTACTTATTATGTCTGGTTTCTAAATTGTGTACAAAATTAAATTATGTAAACAGGAACTGGAGGATTCTTCAGAATTCTGGTGTGAAAGTTAATGAGCAACAGCAAACTTAGAACTGACAACTGGCGTTCTTCACGTACTTTGGACACCCGTCCACAAAACACTTGAACTGTTAATACCACAAATTCAGCCAGTGTCTGCTGATCCTTTTTGTGCATCATTACCCTTAAAGGTTCTCTCTCTGTAATGCCATTAAATCTTCAGCATCTTTTTTGAACTTTAGTGGGAACTTATTTATATAGAAAATTAAAGGTTATTTGTTCTTCAGAATATAAATCAGTATTGATCTATTAATTGACTTTGAAGCAAAATTTATGAAATAGAAAGAGGAAGCTTGAGCCATTGATTTGTCCCTGGGGAATTGGAAGGGAGCCCTTCACAAAGCATTTACAGCCCCCTGTAGCTGGATATTGCTGATTGAGTTGCTGGAAGCCACCTGGCTGCCGCCATGCAGTATTATACTATTCCTTTTTTGTGATGATGGCACCTCAAAGCATACTGGCCTATGGAATCCTAATCTAGTTTGCAGATGGGGCTATATGTCTTTGCCACATAATGTAATAAATTGGACCAAATTTTTCTTAACATCTTAAATAATCAGTGCAGTGAGCAGGTAAAGAGGAAGGAATACAGGTAAAACACAAGGAACTCGTATCTGACTGCAATTTAATGTCATTAAACTATACATAACAAATGGGACAATAAAAACATAGTTTATGCTCAAATTGCCTCTTAAAGATCATTAAAAAGTGTCTGCCTTGTTAGAAAATATTTTTTACAACCTCAACTACCTAGTTTTCACAAAGACTTTGGATTATCTGTAAATGGGAGCCTCTGGTTGATGATGAGTTCAGTGCAGAGGAATGATGGAAACTCCAAAAACTGCACTAGTAGTAGTGAAAGAGACTGGGGTTTTTGATCTGGGTTTTTGTTTGGGTTGGCTCTTTTTAAGAAGTCAACATTTTCGTCATACTGGAATATCAGATGGAGAGAGTACTGTGGCTCTCCACACTGCATACCAGATACCAGTGTATTTTCCTGAAGAGAAGTGCAGCCCCTACCAGGTGGCTGTAGGTGACCTTGTACCTCAGTTCTTTGAGTTAGGTCCCAGTAGTAGAGAATACTCCACCAAGCTTGTTAAGTAGCTCCAATCCCTGGTCGCTCTTGGTGTTAAAAGTTTTTGCCTGTATTTACGTATCCAACCTTAGTTATAAATGTACATTTTTCTTCCAAGTTTAAAGGTCTTTTGTTACCAAATTTTCCCCCCTAATATAGGAATTTATTGGTTATAATCAAATCACTTCATAGCCTTCTCTTGCTTGAAAGAAACAGAATGAGCACCCTGGGCTTTTTGTCAGAGAATGTGTTTTCATGCCCTTTCATTATTCTCATAATCCTTTCAACTCATTGTATTTAATCCTGAAGTATCCAAAATACCCTAAGCACCCTTCCTGAAGTATGTATGCCAGAATTTCCAAGAGCTGGATAGAAAGGTAATATAACCTTTTTATTCCTGTTCTTTGCCTCTCTGTTTACATATTTAAAGGACTGTTTACCCATAGAATTATAGGATAGTCAGGGTTGGAAGGGACCTTAAAGATCATCTATTTCCAACCTCCTGCCATGGGCAAGGACATCTCCCACTAGATCAGGTTGCTCAGAGCCCCATCCAGCCTGGCCTTAAAAACTTCCAGGGATGGGGCTGCCACCCCCTCTCTGGGCAACTTGTGTCAGTGTCTCACCACCCTCATGGTGAAGAACTTCTTCCTAACATCCAATCTAGACCGATCCATCTCTAGCTTTAATCTATTCCCTCTGATCACTGGAACCATAAATTTGGTGTGGGAGTATGTTATGTGGGTTTGAGTTTATTTGTTCTGTAATGTCACGTTCTCAAATCACTGATTTGCAAGACTGGGGGTTGGAACTACATGATCTTTAAGGTCCCTTCCAACTCCAAACATTCTGTGATGCTATGATTCTATGTCTTGTGTTCTTTGTTCTTAAATACATAAAACAATGTCTGTGGTTGGCCGTGTTGAAGCATGCACCTTCTTGGGTAGGCATGCTGAATAATCTAACCCTCTGAAGCAATCCTAGGTATGAAATACCACAGAGTAAGGGTCTGGGTCCTCAGATTGGGCCCCTATGATTCCAGAATCCATAACATAGTGTGGAAGCTCAAGGAATCTGGGCTCTGCTGTAAAATGGAACTACCTAAAACCTTGTTTTGAAATAATCTTTTTAATATGCATATTCTGTGATATAAACTAATCCCAAATATTTAATAGTTTTCTTTTTTTCCCTATTATCTTTTCCCTTTTTTCTGAATTCCCTGGGATAGAAACTATGTTGCTGCTCACTCAGCATTCAGGTCTCATATTATGCACTGGCCTTTGATTCTATGCTACATTTATTCAATGATGTTTCCATTCTTTTCCAAGTCCATTTATATAAATGTTAAATAATTTTTGACTAGTTAATGATGAATGCCCCTTACAATTCCAGGCCTCCATTCTTTTGAATTTTGCAACCATTGATGTTTATAGATTGAGTACCATTTTATTGTGGAGGTATTCTGCAGAAAAGCAGCATTTACAGTTATGCTGACTTCAACTCCTTGCTTCCACTGCTTTTATACAGGGCTCTATAGAAAAGAAAAATCTTTGAAAAAAAACCCCTAGATTGATGAATTAAATTACCACAGCAGAAATGGCGTCGTTTTTGTCTTGTAAACAAAGTGGATGGTGTTAACAAATTACCATGGTAATTCAGAAGTGTGTGGTTGTTGTTTATTTGCTAAAAGTTATTTTGAAAAATGCCAGCAGATTCAAATTGTTCTGTTCTGAATTGATCACAAGGATGTAGCAGGCTAGCATTTTCCTGGCTGTCAGTATACTAAATTTGCATAAAATCACTGGGTTTAACAATTTTGTTTATATCATTGACCATCAAAAACTTTCTGGTCAAGGGAGCATTTCAGTTATGGCCTTGAAAATGGAATAGCATTTACTTGTGTCTCCTGAGCATAACTGATGTGATAGATGATATAACGGCAAAAGAAAAACTAATTTGTGTTATGTCTATGAAGTAATTATCTCTTGTATCCACTTCGGGTATTTTTTTTAATCACATACAAAGTCTCTTCACCACTTTGCTTTGTTTTGTTTCCCATTCCAGAAAGTGTTTCCAGCATATATTGATTTCTAGCCAAGTTGTTGGATTTGCATTCCATCTTTCTTCCTCAGTATTGCACAAGAAATACCAACTCAGAGTGTTAATGTTTTTATTAAGCCAATGCAAACTCTTCCAGCTCTTGCTAATCTACTGTGCGAGCAGGTGTTCAATGTGATCTATTACTGTAGATAT